TAGCTGAAGGGAGAAGAAGTGGATTCACACATTTCTGCGGAGTATTAGCACATAAGTGAATGTAATGGATTCGACTGGAATTCGAACTCGGTTCTCCGATTCCCCAATCCCAGCCGCTATCTATTACTCTAGCATGCCTTTTAAATGACGAGACAGTCATGGCTCTTCACAGTAACTAAACCAAAAATAAGCGACGGAAAAATGTATTTAGAAACAAAGAAAAGTAGGCTGAGGCGATACGTAATGTCTAATTTCCAATATGGCGGCGAATGCTGGATATTTTCCTCACAAATGAAGAAAAAACGTGAATCGACAAAAATGTGGTTCTGCCGACGAAGCCAGAGAAGATCATGGATCGGGCAGATGAGAAACGAAAAACTTTGAATGACAATACACCAACTACAAATTTACTAACAATAAACAAGATAGCTAAAGCTTTTAATGACACATAATGAGGAAAGACAGTTTGGAGAACATAACACTCATAGTGCATATTGAAGAAAGAGATGCAAAGTAAAAAAGGTAATACACTATTTGACAAAGAATGAATAATAATGAAAACAAGTATCGAAAAGACAAAGAGGGGTTGTGTATGAAGAAGCTGGAGAGATTCATGATCGGCCACGTAAAATATTTGTAGTGAAATTCGAATATTGTACGCGACGAGTTTTAAAATTGAGACAAGGTTTGAGTTTTAGCATAAAGTCAAGGATTGAAGTTTTAGATAAAGTCAAGGTCTGAGTTTTTACATTGAGGCAAGGTTTGAGCCTTTACATAAAGGCAAGGTTTGAGTTTTTATGTTGCGGCAATGTTTGAGTTTTTATATAGTCATGGTTTGAGCTTGTATATTGAGGCAAGATTTGAGTCTTTCCACTGAGTCTTTTACATAAAGGTTCAGTTTGAGTTTTTACATTGAGGCAAGGTTTGAGCTTTTGCATAAAGTCAAGGTTTGAGTTTTTATATAGAGGCATGGTTTGAATCTTTACATAGAGGGAAGGTTTGAGTTTTTACAATGAGTCTTGGTCTGAGTTTTTACATAGAGGCAAGGTTTGAGTTTATATATTAATGTAAGTTTTGAGTCTTTCCATTGAGTCAAGGTTTGAGCTTTTACATAAAGGTTCCGTTTGAGTTTTTCATGAAGCAAGGTTCGAGTTTATACATAGAGGCAAGGTTTGAGTTACCGATTTTACGTGAGAAGCAGAAATCTATAATAAGAGATGATAGAAAGTTCGACCCCCCACCCCAAATGCGTATGTGTAGCAGTATAGTGAAAGATGCTTTACAGAAACTAAACAGGATACTAACACACCGAAAATAGTCTTATAAACAAACAAAACAGTACTGAATTGGTATATAATACCTAATATTCTATACGGTAGCAATTATTGGACAATTTCCTTAGATGAAGAAAGGACTTGGAGTGACAGAGATGTGCTTCTCCCAATAAATGTTGAGAATACAATGGACGTAGAATTTTTGCCATCAAGAAATGAGAAAGGTTTTAAGAATCGAAACTACAACGAAACAGCTGCTGATATTCGGAAGAAAAATAGTTGAAATTTCTGAAACATCTAACGAGAAAAGAATACTTGGAGAATTTGACACTCCCAGGATATACTGACGACAAGAGAAGCAGGGGAAAACAACGTTGAGTAAGTTTGAGTAAATTGATAATGGATATAGAACTACAAAAACAAAGATGGTTTATCATGGATTAGACGTTGTGGAGACTCATGATCTTCCACATTCTGAAAGGAAATGTTACATGTTTTTTTTAAGAGAAAAGGTAATTGTTGTTTCTTCCTTTCTTCATTAACGAGGGTAGAGCCTCATGGACAATTGTTCCTTTCCTAGACCGGTTGACCTCCACAGACAGGGAGCCCAATCTACCCTGCTATTTAACTCAGAGCCGAGGGTAGAAAAGATGGATCCTTACATTTCTCAAAGATGTTTATGTGAAAGAGAATGTAACGAATTAGGCTGGAATGTCAAAGCAAACGGAATATATTTCGAGAAGTAATTATGAAAATAGCAGATTTTTTCTGTGGTTATGTAAATTAAACTTTTTGTAAAATGCGAACGAAGATTTATTGCAAGAGAAGAAAAACAAAGAACATTTTGCTCATTTTGCAGATTTCGCTTTATCATTAAGCCAAAGAAATATAAATCTTTAAAATTCTTTAGAAAAACAAAGAATATTTCACTAGAGCTCTGGTTTACAAACACTGTCAGTCTATCAAAGTCCATATTAAAACAGTGTTTCTCAACCTTTTTAAGCAACGTCACACTTAGGAGCAAATGAAAATATCCTGGCACATGTAACAAAATTTTTAAAGGGTATACATTTAAATCTTATGAAATAAAACCATAGATTTAAAAAATACACACACAAATATGAATTTACTTTATTTCAATATTTCTATTCAACTATTTGTACAGCTTATTTTAAAACCTGTGCCTATTTTTTTTCACAAATTCTTCAATGTTTGGCCGAATGTGCAATAAGCAGACCCACACTTCCTCTAAATAAATATTAAAACAAAGTAACATAATCGAAGAATAGTGAAAAGAATTATTTTAAAAAAAAGTTTAATACTTACTCATTTATTTAAATAATAACGCTGTATCATTACTACTTACACACATACATACACACAGACACACACACATATATATATATATATAGATAGATAATATTAGTGGTCAATGTATATATATATATACAGTGTAACCCGGATATAAGAGAGTTGTCCGGACCGGAGAAGAAGTCTCTTATATCCGGGTTTCTCTTATATTCGGGTTTGGTCTATTTTATATACATTAACATAGGCTCTAATTTGGGACCAGAGAAAATCTCTTTTATATCCGGGTTTCTCTTATATCCGGGTCTCTTATATCCAGGTTTATATATATATATATATATATATATATATATATATATATATATATAAAATATATATAAATATATATATTTCTATAAATAAATTCCCAAGAGGTTAGAATCCAGGTAGAACTCAATGTCAGGGCAGAGTAAGAATATAATATAAAAGGCTCAAACACTATTATTACATATATATATATATATATATATATATATATATATATATATATATATATATATATATATATATATATATATATATGTATTTATGCCGTGACAATATTTAACAGGATCACGCGGTAAATTATTATGAAACGACACACTAGTACGCGGCTGCATAGTGGTTGAAATCACTGCATTAAAGTATGGTAAACAAGCATGCTTCACAGGCTATAATTCTTTCGATCCTCACTGAGTGTCTTTACACGTATGGCCACTCAAAGAAAATATAAAATGATCTTTAATTGTAGACTACCGAGTACATTGTAGTCATTTATGGAAGGTTATTGAATGTGTGAGACACCTGAAAAAGGCCGGAGTATACAACGGTCAAGATATGGCTATAACGCACAAAGGAAGCTAAGCCCTTCTCCATATTGCATCTCAACAAAATCCATTAAGGAAAGATAAACATATGCTATGTCTTGAAAGGAAGTAGGTGGTCATGTTTCTCTACAGATTCCTTTTTTATTATGTGTAAATTGCTATCTATTCTTGGGAAATATACTGAAGTAGTTTCCTGTTGCCTTCTTCACGGTTTTGCAGTTAGAGTTTTCCTTCTTTTAGACTGGTTGCCAACCAAGATTAGTGATTGCTATCTACTTTACTATTTAACCCATAGCAGGAAGACAAGAAGAGATTTATAACTTTTCTAAGGGCATTTCTGCGAAAGTGAACACAACAGAGTAGATAGGAATTTGAACTCGGCTCACCGTCTGTGTCGAGTGTCAATGCGTTACATGTCTGCACCCTCCCGTATCAGATCGCCCTATCGGTTGGGGCTGGTAGAATAGGACGGTGATACATCTGCAGAGGGATAAGACCCACCTCCGAAAAGAGTGATCCTGGTTATAAACCTGCATCCGGTCTCTCATCGGGAGATTTAACTTGTGAGGATTTTGGAACCACCTCTTAAGTGAAGTTGTTCCCGGGTCTATCCTAACCCGGGGTGGTAGCACCTGTTAGGGTCCCAGTTACTGTCAAATAGTGAACTCGTAAACTAAAATCTAAACATTAGGAAAGTATAAAATACATTTTTATAGTAAAGATTCCAAGAATACATTCTTTTTAAAAAATTACCAACAATATATTTTTCTAGTGAAATTACCTGAAATACATTTTTATATAAAAAAAATATATTTGTATAATAAATTACCAACAATACATTTTTGTAGTAAAATTACTAACAATATATTTGTGTAGTGTAATTACCAGCAATACATTTTTATAGTAAAATTACTATCAATATATTTGATAGTAAAAAGGAAGACAACACATACATTGTCAAAATATAAAAAAAATAAAAATAATTTATGATTAATCTTGTTTGTTGTAAGGAGAAACAAATTTTCACTCTTTGTTTGATTTTGTAAGATTATTTGGTAAAAAATGCAGCTAAGTAATTATAATGTAATTCTGAAATAATTTAATTCTCTTGAATTGATTATAAAGTTTGAATTTTTATGTTTAGATTTTGGCATTAAATGACCCGCATAGGTGTTGATATGCTGCTAAACAAAAACAACCGAACAAAGCCAACCGCCCATCCTAAAATTAAAAAAAAAAATGCCATGTGAAGGTTAATGGTGATTCTGAATAACTGGCAACATATGAAAACCCCGGCAGTGGCTTTGGGGAGGGAAGAGAAAAAAGAGAAAGAGAGAGATAGCTAGCTTGAGTTGATTTTTAGGAATTATGAACTCGTTGCAGGTTATTTAAAGCCAGGAAATATTTTTAGATTGTAAGAATTTGGGGGGAGATAATAATGATTGAGTGATACAAGTCTTACTAATTAACCCACAGCAGTGGGGAGAGGCTAATTTGCAACGAATTTGGTCGGAGAGACGTGTTCCAATTTCGAGCCGTTATCCATTACACCACCTGTACACCCAAGCTAAACCTACTAGGTATTCCCAAGCGGTCACCCAATCTAGGTATAGACCAGGTTCGACGTTGCTTAACTTCGGTTATCGTACGAGGACCGGTGTTTCAACGTGATATGACCGTTAGAGAGAGAGAGGAAGAGAGGGAGAGAGAGAGAGAGAGGGGAGGGAGAGGGAGAGAGAGAGAGAGGGAGGGAGAGAGAGAGGGAGGGAGAGAGAGAGAGAAGGAGGGTGGAGGGGGTGGGAACAATGGCGCAGGCGTGACACAAGAAGACACTCGATACACCCTGGTAGACGAAGGTGCATTACCCGTCTGACGTCAGAAGCAGATCGATGATCAGGGCCGTTGGTAAGTGTCACATGATACTCACGACTGCAGCTGCATGACACCAACGACCCGATGCCATTGTGTCAACTTTTTTTCGTTTCATTCGATCATTTGCTGCCCCGTCATTTTGGTTTTCATTTCAACTGATTTTTATTTACACTGTCTTATCAAATTCTAACAATTTATGTCGAGATATTTTCTTTTTGGGACACGAGGCGGGCGTGATTGTTAATGCCCCCAATTCAGGCTAGGGTATAAATAACGACGACTGAGATAGAAAGAAAAAAATACTGAGATTGTTCGTTAGGTGATCTTGTTTCTATAAGTTATTTAATGCCGAAATCTATATAATTTGAACACAAATGCATGCCTTCAACCACAGATAAAATGTAATTTTAGTCATTTTGCTATAAAATGTATCGTTGGTAAGTCTACTATAAATAGGTATTGTTGGTAATTTTTTATATAAAAATATATTGCTGGTATTTTTACTATAAAAATGTGTTTTTATATTTTCATAGAATTTTTTTTTTTTTCGGAGGTTCACTATTTTTCCATAGCTGGGACCCTAGCAGATGCTACCGACCCGGATCAGAGTGGACCTGGGAACAACCGCAATTAAGAGGTCCACTCTCCTCAAAACTGATAAGAGGCCTTGCTACCGGATGTGGTTTATCGTCATACCCAGGACTGCCCAGAGATTGCAGTAGTAGGTATAATTGCAATCGTTGTTTGTTTAGTGGCATATCAACTCCTTATGGGTCATTTAATGTCGAAATTTAATTTTCTTGGAAGCTTTGATGTAATAAAAATATGATATATATTATATTATTCTGCTTTCACAATTGAATACATGGTAGATGATACACCGCTTTGTGTATATACATATTTGTATGGAAATAAATACTAGAGGTGGTGATATGTGTATTTTAAGTTGTAGTTTTGTAGTTTTATTCTTTTAATAAATTGTAGGATATTTGTTTTAATATCATGAAAGACTTCATTCATGTTAGTTGGTTGATTTTGTTTAGCGGCATATCAACAGCTCTGTAGGTTATTCAATGCCGAAATCTATAAACATTTTGAACACAATTTTTAATTAAGGCATATAGTTCGTCTGAGCACATTCCATAGAAATAACGACAGAGAGCAATGAAAGGCTTGCCACATCCCATCTGTGAGAGAGGGATTATAGGGTGGGAAATAAGTCAACACCCACAAGGACGCGGAGACGCTTCTGGACTTTATCGAGACTGGAAAGTGAAGACTGGGCAGCTCCTGCCCATATATGTCAGCAGTACCCACTTTTAGGCCTGACGTGGCTTTTGTAAAGGCAGAGGATAGCAAAAGAAGTCAGGTCCTTGCTGGAGCGGAACAGGGAACCTGCATCTTTAGCGATGACTTCTGTGTATCTGAAGAGAAATTCACAGTAAATAAAAGTTCCAGGCGATATTCAGCAAAAGTATTCTCCCATCCCATTCTAAGAATGGCGTTCGGCAAACACTGGAAGTTTTGTACAAGAGACGAATATTGAATAACTTGGATGCTATTTACTCTGCGTTCTTACGACGATTTATTTTTTCGGCAGTCAGGAATATAAATTTAGTCGAATTGCAACAAAGACAAAAATATTCAAACTATGATTAAATAAGGAACATCGTTTGTAAATTTAACGTTTGTCAGTATTTCGAAATATGTGCTATTCGTTTTCATTGGTCAGGTAGATGTAACCACGTGAGATCTGTCAGACCAATGAAAACAAACAGCACAGAATTCGAAATGCCGAAGCATTCTTTTCGAAACCCCCCAATTCTGATGTAGCTAAAATGAAAGCGAAACATGTTAAATTTATAAACGTTTTTTTTTATATTTGTTCCTTATTTTATCATTCTGTAGGATTGAATTCATATTTATTCCCCCCCCCCCCACATTATATATATACTAGTTGATTCTTTGAGAAACCAAAATATCTTCGGTAAATTGGAAACAAAATGAATGAAGTCAAGCAGCACAGGCATTGTGTTAAAACGTGGATTTTGACTGATTGATTCGTTTTTCACGGTTTATCAACCTTTTGCAGGTTATTTAAAACCAGAGAATATTTTTGTGGTGGGGGAGATAATAATGATTTACTGACACATGTCTTACTAATTATTCCATGGCTGAGGTAGAAAAGGTGTATTGATACCTTTCCCAAGGGTATTTGCGCCTAAGTGAATATAACGAACACAATTGAAATTGGAACTCGGCTTTTCGGTTAACAATTCCGAACCATTATCCATTACACCACATCCAAGCTTAGAGTGCCTTGGTATTTCCAAGCGTTCACTTATTTAGGTACTGACCAGTCTCGGCGTTACTTAACTTCGGTGATTGTACTAGGATTAGTGTTTTAACGTGATATGGCCGCAAACCTTAAAATGTGCCAAAAAGCGAACAATCACCATAATGTCTAGCAGTCAAAATCACGACAGAAGAAATGTCCTGGTCTCAAAAACTCTTTTGAATGACATTTCAATCCCGACCACACTAAACTTAAGATGCCCACGGAAACTATACCAATATGAATCATTGTTTTAACTCCTCACAATTCGGTTTGGTTTTCGTTCTGGTAAGGGATGTAATGATGGCATATATATCATCAAACAATAATAAAGATAATATTAGATGATCCTTTATAAGACACACTCAGTCTTTAAGTGATCTTTATATATTTTGAATAATTGGAATATATTCACTTTCAGCTGACTTTTTACTTTGAGTCACATTTCAAGTTTCACACTAAACTCTTAAAATAAAAAATACACCAATATACATCCAATCATTACAAAGCCCATCTTCAAACATAAACAATAATGAACCTAATGATAAGGAAATTAAGAAAGTTATAAAAAAAAATTAAAGAATAATAAAGTATCACTTGACAATGAAGCTGAACTTTTGAAAATGGCTTAATTTCTCTTCGGATTCAATAACAAGTTTCTCAATTTCATTATGGAAGTTTAAAATCAGAAACGCATCCCAAAAATGGGGTTTATCACACATTAACACACTATGGAAACAAAAAGGAAACCCTTAAGACTTTCACACATACAGAGATATCTCATTTGGATCCATTATGGTGAAGGTATTACTGAGCCTTATATTAAATAGGCTCTCATTGTTTTATGAAAGTCAACTCCTCACAACACAGACTTTCGTTTTGGTAAGGGATACAATAGTAGCCACTTCTGATAATTTGTTTCAACAGAAAGATTTTATAAATTTCAATAGGTTGCAGTACTTGCTACTCGGTCAATGAATGCAGAAGGTTTCTTTATAAGGAAACGGAGATATATATATATATATTTTTTTTTTGAAAGCGCAGCAAAGCATTCGTCTTTAAAGATCCTTTGTCAATCAGCACTTCGTCAGAAGAATTGGTAAATATTAAATTGACAGAATAACAATTCGCACTGCGAGAAAAAAGAAAAACATACGGAGGAGAAAAAAATATCTTGCCGCACCCTCCGGATTGTCTAGCAAATTTTGTTCAATGGCCGAATCGTGAACAGACTGCAATTAAAAATACCCTGTTTCGAGTCGCTGATTGGTTCGTCCTACATAGCCTCACATTGACATTTGAATTTATAAACAAGAACTACCTTGGAGGTAGGACAAACGAGAGAAAAACCAGATTAGTCCGAAGACAATCCGTAACCTAACCACAAATGTATAGCTTAGATGTGGCTCAAGGCCGAAAGTAAGGTGGCACCTAATGAGAATTATGTTTATTGTTTTACTATTTAACCCATAGCTGGGAGGGGAAGAGCTGTATTCATATATTTTCCAAAGGTATGCAAATCAGTGAATATAATGAAGTCAAGTGGAACTTGAATTCAGTTTACCGATTTCTCATTTAGAGCCTTAATCCATTACACCACCCGCACATCCAACATTTACAGCACCTTGTATTCCCGAGCGGTCACCCATTTAGGTACTGACCAGGTTCAAAGAAAAAAAGAGAAAAAGATTGTGTAGCTTTTGGACTCAAATTCTAACCGCTGTAGTCAGTAAGAAAACATGCAAATATCAGCTATCAAATATCTCAACCAGAGCAAGAGTAAGTGAAATATAATGAATTGACGCAAAATGTATTTGTACATTTTTTCTATATACGAACAGCGGTTGATACTTATCGAAATAAGTACGTATTTAGTTAGAAACCATAGTTAATTAACTATGACTTCTAGCTAAATACATTAGTTAGTAATTGCTATTTAGCGTGACCTTGAGCCAGACTAGTTGAAGGCTAGAAAATATGTATAAATAGGGATTAGATTAGAATAGTATTTTTTCTGCTGCCTTCACCTTTTATTTTTATTTTCCCAATATAAATTTTGAGCAGTTTCCCAACAAATCTAACCCTGTTGTGTGACAGCTCATACGTAAACTCGAAAAATGTCCTAAATATTTAAACAGATATTCTAAGCCGATTTTAAATAAAACTTGTCTGAATTCATTTTTGCTTAGTATATAAAATGTTGGATCAAAAAGTATCGGGACTGTTGCTATGGTAACAGAGCTAAAGTACGTAGGACATAGATTGACCTTTGAACTTTTCGCGCATGCACACTAAGTTACGACGTTCTTGCTCGCTACAGTTGTTTATAAAAGTGCTTGGAAGGAAAGTGTGTAGAATGTGGTCGTTTCTCCATACTACAGAGGTTTCCTTAGTGACCATGACTTATGCAGCAGGTTTTAGCCAATTACAGCATTTCCTAGGTCTGGCAACCATTATATTACCCAGATGTCGCCCTTAGTGACCTTTTTCTCTTCAAAAATCAAATCTCACTTGAAAGGGACAAGATTTAAAGACGCCTAGGAAATACAATTGACTGACCTTTCAACCCCCTTTTAGGAACGTTCTCAAATTTAAAAGCCTTCATAAACGAATGACGTACTTGCTCTTGTATATAAACATGTGCAACGAAATAAATCCTACAACTGTCTTGATAAACTACCACAGAGGACAAAACACGTTGGCGAAGAATAAATTTATCTCGACTTTTTATTCATTTTGTTCGTTTACAGATATATTCTAATTGAAAATAATTCTCTCCCTCTCTCTCTCTCCCTCTCTCTCACACACACACACACACACACACACACACAAGTTTTGTCTATTTATTGTGTCGTTACTTCGAAATTTTCATGCAGCAAGGGCGGACTATCATTGTTGTTTCGTCCATGTGTTGTTTGATAATGGCTTGTGTAAGCTGAAAGCTTAGATTGGATTTAAACATGTATTAATATGGTGTTTTCCTTTCATCTTTCAATGATAATGTGATTAAGCTTATCAGACAATATGAAAGGAACTTACTTAAAATAAATAGACAAAACTTGTCTATATTATTTAATGAAACATGCATTAATGAAAAATTGCTGCCTAAATATACACAATATATATATATATATATATATATATATATATATATATATATATATTTTCTTAACCTTTTTCTTAATATAATATATATATATATATATATATATATATACAAGGTTAAGAAAAGCACAACACTGAATCGGGCAAGAAAGCTGGCAATAATTCGTTATTTTCTGCACACACATTCGATTTTTTTTTGTTTTCTTGTTTACCAACATATTTTTTCTTTTTGTTATTTCAATCATATCCGTTTTTATTGGTTTCATAAAATGACCTTAGTCACTTTTATCAAAAACAATAGAAGAAAAAGAAGGAAGATTTAAATGGTTGTGCCTCTTTGTCTTACGTTTAATTTTTGTTTTAGCATGTTTCCGTAACTGTATCTTGTGCAGTGAAAAATGGGAAAAAGGATTGTCAGTCGTCAGGAATTAATGCAAGTGTTACTCCCATAATAGGCCTAACTCAGGTAAGGTAAATCGATGACTGAGTCCAGTGACGTTCGGAAAGATTTTGAGCACCTCCTGCCACAAGACATGCGGTACCACGTAATAGAAAAGTGACATCTGAACTCAATGTATAAAACGCAAATATCCAATTTCTCTGAAAGAATCTATAGCAATGGCCAGCCTCTCTCTTTTTCTCCTATCTCTCAAGCTCGCAGTGTTTCTCTCTCACGCCCCTCTATGCTTCCCTCTTAGTTTCCATACAGTCAAACTCTCTTTATTTACAACCCCTCTTTGTGCTCATGATACCTGTTCCGCTATCCATTTGCTCAAACTCGTCAAGTGGGTCTCTTTCTGCTTTCCCTTGCTTCTCCTGTTTTTAATATAATCTGTGAGTGTTAAGTCCTCCAAACCATCTTCCTTCCTTATGTGTAGCTGAGTAAATCAGCCTCTCAAACCTTGGGTGACAACCAGCCTAAGAGAAGAAAAACTCTAAATTCCCAACCGTATAGAATGCAACACACACATACGAAATAACTACTGCTCAAAGTATTAGCTGCTTTTCTGAACATGCATGCAAATAAAACCAGTTGTTTAGTAAACCCAGATACAATGTCACCACCCGGTGAGGGTGAAAACCAGTAACCATAGCCAAGGAGAGTAATCATGTCTTCGGAAAGGTGCCTATGAAAGAAAATAAGTATAGGCTTTTTTTTTTAACATGAAATGTGTTTAAATATTAAGACGCATTTAAATCAGTAGAAGACGGTGAGCCTTGCTGGAATCATCGTAGCGATGCCATCAGCAACTGGTGATCGATTGCCAAGTCATATCAGAATTCAGATGACAGTTTCCTATTAAGTAAGCAACACCCTTCAAGAAAGTGACAGTGTGCAAACTAAGTGAGAAACACAGAGAGAGGCCGAAAGAGAGGAGAAGCACAAAAAGGCTGGGAAAGGGAGATAAAAAAAAAACACAGAGAAGTTCAGTGAGATATATATATATATATATATATATATATATATAGAGAGAGAGAGAGAGAAATACGGGTGATAGAGAGAGATAGAAAACGGAAAAGGGTGAGAGTAAGAAAATAGAGAAGGATGAGATAAAGAGAGAAAAACAGAGGTGTGTGTGTGTAAGAGAGAGAGAGAGAGAGAGAGAGAAGGGGAGAAACACACAAAGGTGAGAGAGAGAATCATAAAAGTGCGAGAGATAGAGAAACACGGGTGTGAGAAAGAAGAAGAGTGTTTGTATGTGAGAGAGAGAGAAAGAGAGAGGAGGTAAGAGAGGTTAAGAGATGGATAGATAGAAATTGAAAGAGAGGGAGACAGTGAGAGAAACAGATATTTGGTGGGGGCGGTGATTGAGAGAAAGAGTTCTGTGGCAGAACCTTACAGATAACTAATTTTGGTATTTGTTTATTTTGTAAGCCATTTTTGCTGGAGTCACAAAAATGGAATTTTGCCAGAAACGCGACCCAGTAGACGACATTAGGGTCATTATTTGCTAAGGATCTTGAAAATATTTTAGAAAAGCTAAAGAAAAAGATAAACAATTTTTTGATTAACTAGCAGGGCTACCCGGCGTTACTCGTATATTATATCAAAATGACACCAGCAATGTAAAAATATATGATAAGCAATCATAAAGCAGTTTAATTTTTTGTTACTATTTAAATAAACATATACCGCCGGTGTATAGTACCAAAGGAAAATAGCCAGGATCATCGATTAAATTTTAACGATCCTTTTCTTAGCTACAAGTGTGTGCTTCGACAGGGAAACATACAGTTTTGAATTCAGAGAATTCTTTCTCCTAGACCGGTTGCCAACCAAGGCTATATGGCTGGATCTGTCCCGCTATTTACCCATAGCTGGGGATAGAAGAGATGGATTCATACCTTCCCCAAGAGTATTACCACATAAGTGAATGTAATGAGTTCGAACTTAGCTATCCGATTCCTTAATCCGAGCTGTATTCAAGGTTGCCAATAAGACTTTAAAGTTAATATATATATATATATATATATATATATATATATATATATAAAATTTGGCACTTAGCTGAGCAATTTTGTGTTTATTACCTTTACTCCGGTCCACTCGTCAGATAACATAATAATATTATGAATACAAAAATTCGCTACTCAGAGTTTCATGTAATAACAATCATCAAAGAAAGTTATATTGTTTAATCCACCCTAAAATATTAATATTAAAAATACCGTGGTGAAAATATTTTAAAAATTTATTGATAAACATTTCGGAGCTGAAATATTATTCCAGAAATAATCTGAAAGTAAAGCCATAGCTGCATTAACAGCATAGAAAAAATTAAAGTAAAGCATACTAGAAAGATAAAGGAGAGATCTGATAACAACTAACCCAGTAGATATAACTGTAGGGTGAAAGAGGAATGCCCTCGAAACAGAGCGTGTATGGTAAGGGACGTTGTCTACAAAGCTAAGGCCATCAGTGGTGGAGACACTAAATACTACGTAAGAGAGTGAATGGGAAAGACGATACTACAATCACAAATTCAGACTAACCAACGGTAAATACAAAAAGGTATCATTGCACTAACTACTATTGGAACACCATTGACGGAAGGAGGAAAGGAGGCACCTACTATTACAAAGAAAATCCTGGTCAAATCATGACCATATAACGGAGCCGGTAAAGGCTGTAATAAGTGACTGACGGAAAAATTAAATTAATAATCCTGCAGCGAATGGGAGTCCAACTTTTGAATAAGAGAGGCAAATTTATGGTTACATGCTGCCATAAGAATAAATATTTCATTAAAACACACATACTGGGTAGAGTTATTAGGTTGGTGCAAAAATAATGACGTAATAATGTCGTTTTTGACGTATTTTTTAACGTCAAAAAAAACGACATTATTACGTCATTATTTTTGCACCAACCTAATACGTGTCATCCCTAGGGTATGTAAGTAGCTAGCTAGATAGATTGATTCCATATTTCCGCCTAATGATTGCTATTACATGAAACTTTGAGTAGCGGATTTTAGTATTGATAATATTATTCTATTTAGGCTCCATCGATTTTGGCATTGAGAACCTCAGTTTAATTGATATTTAGCTTTTATTTTTACTATTTGTGTGTGTGTGTGTGTGTGTGTGTGTGTGTGTATATCTATCTATCTATATATATATATATATATATATATATATATATATATAATGAAATGGAATAAGTCTGACAATTATTTTAATATATTTATTGTTTATACGTTATTTTTATAGATACAAATATGTATGTAAATGCTCTATTTATAATAAACAGTATTAAGATTTACCGGCCTGAATGTTCGAGAAATTTGATAGAAAATATGTGTCCTCCGAAAGGAATCGAACTTGTATCCTATACGGAACTGTCATATAGCCTGACGTGCTATACCATAATTGTCGGACTTAGTCCATTTCATATGTCATTTGTTTACGTTAATATACGATTCGAGCAAATATGATGAGCGTTCGAGAGAAATCATGGGAAATTTGTAGTTTAAAAACAGTAATTCGACCTTGCTAACCAGACGCTTCCTCTGTAGCTAAATGGTATAGCACATCAGGCTATATGACGGTTTCGTGTAGGATACAGGTTCGATTTCATTCATCATCTAATATTTATATTAGATGATGAATGAAATATTAACTTGCCATTAATTATTGAAGTCCTCACATTATTTTCGGTAAATGAATGACAAAGTGAAAACAATTTTGCGTAACGCGTTTCGTCCCCTCGACCGAATTCATCGGACTAAAGTAATGCTTTTGATGTTAGAGGAGGAGGAGGGAGTGTCGGTTAAAATTATGCACTGACGAGAGACGCTGCAATGAAATAGCTCCCCACCCTCTCATACAATTCCATCTATAAAAATACTAATATTGTCCGATGAAATCCTAAAGAACAAAACGCGTGACAAAGAATTTTTCCCAAATTGTCATTCAAGATGACAACATTAAACTGACAGTAACTAACAAACAAAATAAACTGTTAGAACCGGGCGCGTCCATTTCTGTTCCTGTCGGCGTTACACTGCAATCACATTGCATACACGCATGACGCAAACTATGAAAATTTGCACCAATAAAAATGGCATATCAATTGCTGAAGTCCCCTGACGAGTGGACGGAATAATTCCCGAAGGTCCCGTCTACGAAACTCTGGAGTCGTGCTGCTGAAAGTATATATTTGTGGATAAAGTGGTCTATATAAGGGCTAGAGTGTGTAAATATATAACCATGAAAGACCGTCGCCACTCTGTGCAGACCTCTTTATATATATATATATATATATATATATATATATATATATATATATATATATATATTATTAGAGAAATCTATTAAAAAATGGAAAAATATTTCGTGTGACGCGTTTCGTCCTTTAGGACTAAATTGATGTTATACATGCGCCTGAAGGAGAGGGGCGCTAAAGTTTTAAATTTATTCATTTTTATTAAATACAAGTTTTGGCACATAGTCCAGCCGATTTCATTTATTTTGTTTTTACCACTTTTGTTATTAAATATCGTCGTACATTGTGATAATAGAAGATCTGCCAAGAAAGGTGAAATGTAAGAATCTGGACGCAAATTTAATGTGGATGATCTAGCGATTAAAATTGTTTTCATATATGGAAATTTATATATCGTTTTCCCCATATAGAAGTGTGTTCCAATCTTGTGAAAATACTTATTCAGATTTTTTTTTTTTTAAATGGGAAGCATTTACAAGTTTGAAAATGAAGCCTCTTGAACCAGTAGAAAATTTCCCTTTCAATTTTTCTATTTCGAGAATTGAACACAAAGTAAAAAAAAAAGAAGAAAAAAAACACAAAATTTATAAAAAAAGATCCTGTTTATGCATGTCTGGCCTAATTTGCTCATCTTTTATCACAGCATTCACTGCAAGGTTATTAGTTTGGAAACACACTGTTAGAAGAGTCAGAGAATTCACAATTAGGTACTGTCCAATCAGTGCAAGGATAATCTAGAGTGAAGGCAGCTAAAATGTGAGAAAATACAAACACGAAACATTTTGTCTGTAGCAGAAGTGTAAAGCTTTTTCCTTACCGACCATCTTGACGTATTTTTGAATTTTATTTTTCAAAAAACAAAAAAAAAACAACAAAAAACAAAAAACAAAAAAACAAAAACATGCTTAGCACATATAATTAGAAAAAAATGACAACATCTTGAATTTCTACACTACTTCAAACAAAAAGTTAGGAAGGAAACTCCATCAGTACTGGAAAGAGCGATAACAGAGTCCATGAGAAATTGTTTTAGTATAAATATAAATTTCAACTCAATAGTACAACTGTCTGAATGGTCAATGAATATCAAATGTGTTCTTATAAGGAAATGGATACCCTTAACATTACAGTCTAGCTTTGGGGTTAATTCTGTCCTCGGCAAGAATTGTACTGACAATAAATCTGGATTCAGCCAAATCCGACGCAAAGAAAGTTATTGATAATTTGGAGAAGTTATTCCATAAATGCGCATACGGTTTCGTCATTTTCTTGCTTTGTACGCGCATCCATCTCCAATGAAATTTCATTTATTCATCATTTCACTTTAATCGCAACGTCTCTTTGTAAAATAACTTTTACATTAAATGCTGTCCTCGTTTATATATTTAGGTTGATAATATCAATGGTTACAATAGACATCTGTAAAAATACAGTGCATTAATCTATACATAAAATATTCTGTGACATCCATTAGTCCGTCCATCACAGCCTCTAAAATAGCCATACATTGACCGATCGAAATCAAATTGAGAAATTCAAACAGGTAAGCGGGCTACAAAGTAGGATTCGTTTTATTATAGTGTTTTATTATAGTATAATAAATTTCACTATTTTTTTTGAAAAATTAATTTTTATTATTTAATTTACAAAATACTTCCACTATTTTAAAACAGTTTAATGAATAAAATAAATACATATTTAATAAAAAAAAAAAAAAAAAAAATCAGCTTACTTAAATTTCATCGATTGTTTTGCGAAATGGAACGAAACGTAGAGTTTGCAAATCTTGACAAAAAAATGTTAGCGATAATTTCAACAATACTAAATTCTGTGATGAGTTCAACGTGTCAGTGTGTTGCAAAGAAATTCTATTATTTTTTAAAAAATTCTAAACCTATGTTGAACTTTAAAGAGTAGAGTTGTAACCGCAAATTCTAGCCAAACAGTTTCTTCTCTTCCACTTCTGCAGCTTTCAGATTTCCTGTTAAGTACAATCTTCGGAAATTTAAATGCAATTTCAATCGTCACATCTTACTGAATCCCGCCGCCCAATGAGAATTCATAAGTGCTATCCTCTCTAAGAGATACACGATTCATTCACTCGAAGCCAGTTGTTTTTTAAGTGAATTTTAACATGTACTTTACTTTTATTATTTACACTTATTAATATATTATTTATATTTTACACCATTATTATTCTTATATTATTATTATTATTGTCCATATCTTTTTTATCATTACAAAGTTTTGACAGTCGTGTTTTCCGGCCATTCTAAGGTGTCTGTTGATCCGTCTACTCTTCCGAGGATTTCAAAATAAGATCGTTATTTAATCTACGCTGAGAAATGGTTCCGGTGTTCCATGTTCAGAAATATCTTTAGTTTTGTTAATATTTTAATAATGTCCAGTCAGCCAATGTTCACCTCGTATCTACAAAGTTCAAGTAGTCACTACCCGGCACAGGGATTGAACTGAAAATTACTCTCCCCAAGTTCACCAACCAATGACTTAATCCTTTGATAATGATTATGTTATTCATCAGAGTGGAAGGAATGGTAACTCTTCATCCCAGAAATACAGAAATTTCCTTTTATACTTTAGCTAATAGTATCCTTAAAGGGTCTAGAGAGGAACAGTACAGGGCCACGTTGAAGGCCTAGGCTATAGTAACCTTTATAAATAAATGAAAAAAAAGAAAATTGAAAAAAAAATTCAGGCAAGAATATTTTGGCTTGTCCAGTTGATATATGAAGTAAAATCTACCAGCATTCATAGGTTTTAAGTGTTTTAAATATAACGTGAAAATATCTTTCAACTTTGTAGTTCAGCAATTCATTGGCTTTTCAATGTAAATAAATCAAATGCCAACTTGTAACCCTGTACGAATCGCTATGCTGAAAAGTAAATGCAAACAAGCTTGTTCATTGATATCAGTTTGTACAAGAAAAATGTATTTTTTTTAAAATTAGAATTTAAATGCTGAACAATTAACTTATTTTGGAAACTGAATGAATTCGAAAGTTTTTATCCATATTTTCCATTTCACAAAAATCATTTTCTTCGAACACCATCAGCTTTTTAAAGCAGTAGGAGTTTCCCTAAATGGGCAGCCTATGGAGGGAGAGCGAGGCTATTAAGCATTGTAATTCAGATTAATGAAGCAAAAGTGTTGTAATCAATGACGCATTTAAGTTATACACTGTAAGTTCATTTTTATGCAATTCCAAAAGTACATTCGTTGAGATCTTAGTAAATATGATACAAATAACGAAGTACAATTTGCTAAAAAGTCATTAAAAAAAAGTTTTGTTTTTGTAAGTCAAAGTAATGAACGGAAAAAAAACATATGCAAAACATTTGTTTACGGTGAATTCGAAAATAAAAAAACAAAAAAACTTCAATACCGAAAAGGGGTTTTCAACAAAGTCAAATGGAATAACTCCAAGAAATTTAAAACTGTTGTTAAGATTCAGTTTTCTTTTCGAAAAGTCTTTAGACAGTTGCTAAATATGAAAAATCGAATCTTATTTTTGTTTTCTGTATCGAATTCATTAAATTTCTTCAAGCATCACCTGCATGACAGATTATTATATATGTGTGTGGGAGTGAGAGAGAGAAATTGTCAGCTACAAGTAATTCAGTATCTGACCAGTAGCGACCGAAAAAAAGAAAAAAAAAGTTGATTGAGGGGGGGGGAGGCGATATTTAACGATTGATAACATGTATACACTACATAATTGTAGCAAAGAGCAATTAAAATTCCACCGAAGTCACTTGCTAAACTGCTATAGAACTTCGCATGAAATTTTTGTTGGCGAAAGATGTTCATAAGGATTTAAGAAAAAATGCAGTAATAAAGTAAAAACTGGTTAAAAAAAGTAAACTTTTGTGCAGAAGTAAAACAGACAGAAAAAAAGTAGAGAGAAAAAAATAGGGAAAAAAAAAACACAAACAAGGGAGAAAAATACTAAAAGTATTTGAGTAAAACTGTTAAAAGTAAAAGATTTTGTGTTTAAAAAAAGTCCTTTATGCTCTGGGATATTACACCAGAGGTCAAAATAGAGCCAACCGTCTCCAAAATATTTTTTCCCTTAACTATGCTTGTCAATCTCAGTATTCGAACCTGGGATGCAGAAATTGTATACGAAGTTTGGTATAACGTATCTAAATTTTATTTAATTTTCTTTTTATAAATAAAGACTAAAAAATAAAATCAGTGCCACAAGTAAGTTTCATCCTTTACCAAGATTTAAATGAAAGTGTAGATATTAAGACTTTAAAGAAATCAATGACATTCTGGGATCATTTTAACGCCTGTCGAAAATTGCTATACCGTGTGTCGATCTTAGTAAATAGATTTAAATAGCAAGATCCTCGGTTCAAATACTGAGTTTGGTAAGCAGAACATATTTCTATTGCTGACGCGAAAGATGAAACAGTTTGGATTCAGCCGGTGATGGAAGACATCACAACACAATCGACTTGTTCTAAGATGACATGGGAATTTGTTTTTGCTTTTTTTTTTTTTTCCATTGTCATATAGAACTTTCCTCAGATCTGTCGTGTTCCACAGCGATTTGACAAATCTTTAGAATGTCAATAAACAATTGATATTTAAAGTTAAAATAGGCATGTATATTATCAAATTTAAACACCAGATAATATATTCATCAAGATGAATGCACTCGCATATGTATAGTGTCAAAAGTGTTTAAATTTCTCTTAATGAAGCATTAATAAAGTCTATCGAACAATTATATGTATATATAGTGGCCTCTTTTATAAAATAAAACAACGTACATGAATGTTAAAAAAAGTTTAAAAAAGGCATAAAAAGCGGAGTCACTTATGTACATTTGGGAGCCAAATATTACTTTGAATTCGACATTAGAAGTTACCAAGTGTTAAAGGTGAAATTGTTTCCATATTTTTTATCCAATGGTTTCATTCAACTACAAATAATTTGTAGGTTTATAATAAAGAAGTGTTCGTCCTCCATTCTAGAATGCTAAAAATAGTTTTTTTTTTTCGAATATATATATATATATATATATATATATATATATATGTATGTATGGAAAAAAATCAGTCTAAAAACAGAGCAAAGTTATATACAACCCGATATTCGATAGGAAAATGATTATAGATTGCTAAGTGCAATGCAAAAGAATAAGAATTTAGGAAGGAGATTTTCGAAGTCGAGTACACCAACGGTTCTGTGAAAATGGCCGAAGTTTAATAGATTATTACGGGATTACTGCCAAATCGGTCATGTTCTAAGCGTTATGAACGTAAGAGATTAACAGATTATTTTGGCCCCAGAAAGTATTTCCCTGGTGGTTTTGTAATGATCTATTTTTTTTTTAAATTAAAATTTCAGTGTTATCGTTACTGTCTCGGCTTTCCTTTAGATTTTTTTTTACAAGATTTAACAGTAAGCAAATTGAAAGCTTAAAAAAAAAAAAAAACCTAGTTTAAGACTTCGTGTTTATATGCCGGTGGATCCATTTATGAAAGAGAGTTTGCAAGGCTGTAGGTCGTAACCCGGGTTCGGGTTCAAGCAGGCAATTAAAGAAAGAGTAACTTAGTTGGGAATGAGGCCAGCTTTTCTTCGCTACGGGCCAAAGACGCGTGGAAACGTCTGGATACGTGACAGGAAACGGTAGTGTCTGCGTCAGAATATAAAAACCAACAACACCTAACGCCCAAACATCCACTTTAAATAAATCAAATTCAGTTTTCATAAACATCTCCGGTGGCCGGAATTGAGGTCGTCCACAGAGGCACAAGGAGTAGCCAGCGGTCAGTTTCACAGCTTTGCTGAAACCGGCAATTTTCAATCGCATATCAGAGCAAAGAACCAACGTACCAGGCCGGAAATCGCGATGGACAATACAATGTCGGTGGAGATAAGTGAGCCCTCTGGCTGCTGACCAGATCAATCTTTGAGCATCCGATTCTTTTACGGATTGGGGAGGGAGACTGCCGATATAATGTTCCAGTGTATGCAACGAAGCGACTTCGACAATGAAGTGCACATTCAAACCTATTTGGAAGGCGCCATACAGCCGAAGGCAGCTGTCGTGAGAGAGTCGACTCCAAATTTTCAACTCCCGGGTCAGATTGCTTCGTTGGACACGTTGAAAGTAGGTCCCTAGATTGCGCGTTATCAGGGCCTTGTCTTTATTAGCGGTGACATCATACAACAGAAGCTGAGATTCAGTGATCGAATCCCGTCGATGCGGTGTGAGAGAGACGAGGTTGAGACAACGAAGAACGTCGACAAGAGACAACCCGGTTAGATCTTTGTTGATGCCTGACCGACCCGGCGGGATAGTATTGGCCAACCAGAGACCTTCAAAAGCTACCGGAGCCGCGTAAATCTTTTTAAGAGTTTCCTTAGCATCAAAATCTGGATTCAGGTTCGTTCGGGAAGGAGAGTCGACAGAATAAGGAGGGATTCGATCTATGCTCCTGTTTAACGATCTACCAGGAGGGGTCAGGTTACCAAAAGTACTCAGCGAATCAATTATCTTTGTAGAGCCCGTTGATTTTCGGCGATTTTGATTTTCCGGGACATCAACGCAGGTGTCATCTTTATGAACGGTTTTCTCGGCTTCGATTCCACGAATGTATGGCAGAGGTTTTTGGAAATATGTTAATCTTTTGGCTAAGTTCGGCATAGAGTCACACCAGGAGATTTCCGGCGTCGGCAAATTTTCTTTAAGCTTCTGTAGATGGCTACGGTTCATCATTCTGTCGGAGAGTTAACAAATTTTCAACTTTTAAATATTTTCTACCTTTGAATTTAACGATGTATTTTCTTATACATTTTTGTTACTTACGTTGGTTTCTTTTCCTTTCGAAATAATTTTTTTTTCTTGCCCCTAACACTCCACCGGTATCAATTAGTTTCTTTCTCTTCGAAGATTAATTAAAAAAAATATATCTCAGCTGTATGTTGTATTATTTCCTCGCTTGGAAGAATGTATTTCCTTCAAGGAGGGGTGAAATTATATGCTTACGTTTTTCGGCAACATGAGTCGTTAGTCATGTTCCGGTAAAAATTCTGAAGTTCTCGGTCATTAATAGTTATTTTTTGAGCATTGAATTTATCTATATACTAATGATTCTCGAACATGAAGCACCCGATTCCGGAGGGGAGGGAATTTTACTTTGACCATCTCATCTCCGGCCATTATTTTATACTCGTTAAGTAATCAACTGACCAGTGAGGGAATTGACCATGCAATAAGGAAGACGGGTGTAATAGTAAAAAAAAAAAAAAAAAAATGAATTTAGTGTTAAATGAAAGCTGAGGTAGTAAAGGAACGCGAGAAGAAAAGACTAAACATCAACTGCAAGAAGACAGAATAAATGGCTGTTAGCAAAAGGAAAAGCCCAACATACAAATTGGAGATACGAAAATCAAACAAGTACAAAAATGTAAATATCTGGGTAGCATTCAAACAGTGGACGGAAAGCGAGACACTGAAAAACGAAAACACATTGGAATGGCCAAAGATTAGTCAAAGTATTGAGAAATAAAATAAAAAGAAACAAAGAAAAGAGTGCGAAACTGTTATGTGATATTTGTCCCCTTGTATGGCAATTAAAAATGAAGTAAAGACTTCAAGCAACAGAAGTTCTACAGAAGGATGCTGAGGATACCATAGACCGAACATATGAGCAACGACGATATTTTAGAGAAAATGGAAAAAACCTTAATATCAGGAAGAAACAGTTGAAATTTCTAGGGCGCATAATGAGGAAAGAGGGGTTGGAAAATCTGATACTCACAAGACGAATTGATGACAAGAGGGACAAAGGAAAACCACGTATACCATACTTAGTGAGCTTGGGTAAATGGATGACGTAACAGGGTTTAGGAGAAATAATAGAGAGACAAAATGTATGAGGAGCTACGAAGGACAGGAAATTGTGGAGAGCCATGATCACCTACGCTCTGAAGGGACACAGCACATAAAGAATAAGAATTGGTTTAATGGTTATCGGCGCCGAAAATGAAATCGGTGAGCAAATACTGACCAAGGCATAAATCTATCTCTTCTCCCTTTAGCGATGGGTGAAATAGTAAGGCAAACTGGGTCGTTAAGCATTAGTAGGGCAACTAGTCTAGAACAACAATAATGAATGTAAAAAAAACAACCTAAAGAGGAATAAGCTTCACCAAGCTACCTTGTCCCAGACACACCATTCGGGGCTGTTGTAGCTGCAGTACATATTGTGCCCCAACGACCCTGCAGGATGCGTACCTGCAATAAAGCGATTTGGTTTCATAAAGTATTTTAATAATTTTTGTAATGGTGATGAGTAAAATCGAAATGTGGGGGGGGAGAAATTGAAATGTGGCCTGTGCCTCTAAGAATGACAGCCATCTGCATTCAGAGGAAATAAATCGATAAATTAGAGAGCAATTTCTGTCTGACATGTCAGCGGGACAATGGCCTAGAGGATTAAGGTATTGGTTCGTGAATTTGGGGACATAGTAATTGTGAGTTCAATCCTTGGGTCACGCAGTGTGCAATAACTGAGCAATACTAAAAATAAGAACTACACGAGATATCCCTATATCTGTAGTGAAACAAGAACAGTCTACCCCCGTAGATTAAATAAAGAGTTCAGTTCAGAATTCTCTGTAGATTGATATACACCTGAGGAAGGCCGGAGAGTACAACGGCCGAAACGTTGTAGTAACAACAACAAAGATGAGGACAATAGTATGAATATAAGTAATGTGAATAAGAATTGATTCGTGTTAAATCTTTGAGTGCAGTGGGCAGTATAACACGACAGACGACGGTGTATAAAACTTTTCAAAGTCAAGCATTCGTACAACGGTCGGCGGCGCTGAGGATAAAATTACTATATTATAGTATTTGTTTGTTTAGCGGCACATCAACTCCTTATGGGTCATTTAATGCCAAAATTTAATTTTCTTGAGAACATTAGTAATTTCTTTTACAAAAGTACATTACTGGTAATTTTTTTTTAATTTAATTTTTTTTACAAAAACGTGTGGCTGGTATTTTTTTTATAAAACTTTTTATACTTTCATAATGTTTTGAAGCCAGTTTGGGGGTTAACTATTTGCCTATAGCTGATGCTACCACCCCAAGTCAAGGTAAGACAACAGTAATTAAGACGTGGTTAGACGCTCTACAAAATCTCCCGATGAGAGGCATTGCTGCCGGATGTAGTTTATCGTAATACCCAGGACAGGTATATTATAGTACTGAAGGTGCAAAATCAATATAACGTAATACAGTGGCTGTAATATCAATACATTATAGTATAGGAGGAATATATATCATAGTACTGCAATGTAAAACTAGGACACAATAGTACAGGGGGTGTAAATTCAGTATGTCATAGTAGATTGGGTGTAAGATCAAAATATCTTAGCAAAGGGGGGTAAAATATCACGATGCATTTTGTGCGATTTGTGGGGAGCTATCTGTTACTTGTGGATGAAACGACATGCAGTTTGAAACGCTATTCCGTATTTTGGTCTGAATTTTCTAGACGAGGAATTACTAATATTACTGTCTTTATCATTCTTTTAAAGTTACAAATTTTCGGTCGTTGTACTCTCCTGTCTTCTTCATGTATCTATTGTAGGTAATTGTCTCCAAAGAATTTTTAATCAAACCCTTTTTCAATCAACCTGAGTAGGCTGTTAGTATTTCGTTATTCCTAATAGGGATAATGGAAAAATAAGGACATTAGCCTGAGTAAATAAGTGAATATTCTTTTATTTGCTTGTATCTTCAAGACATGGAATATCATAGCTCTCCACAACTTCCTATCCTTTGTAGCTCTAAACCATCCTGTTGCCTTGTAAGTCTTGCCTTTTTAGGTAATGGCTACAAGATAACTTGTCTCGAAGAAAGAATACTACCTTTGAGCCACGACAGAAAATAAAAATCCATTTCTTTTTCATTTTTTAATGCAAATTAGTATTTAAATTAGTATTTGAAATTTTTAACATGAGTTTATGAAATTAATCTGCTTTCTTTTAATTTTTGAACATTTTTATAATCATGTGTATATTGGCTTGGAAAAGTAGAAATTATTTCAGGAATGGAGAAATTGGAAAAAATATCTTAGTTTGAAACGCGACAAAAAATAATGGACTCTTTAGTACAAAGGCTTGAACAAACACAAGACTGAATCTGTCTGATTTCGAACCATTTGCACATGGGTGTATCACCCACAGCACTTTAGATAATGAATTCTTGGAAGGCCTTCTTATTCCAGTATCCATTCGGATCTCGTTGCCACACCTTCCGTTATCTGTTAATATACTTTCCAGATATTTAAACTTTTCTGCTTGTTTGATATTGCCATCCCCAATTCATAGTTCACATCTTCGCCTGTCCCTTTTGTTGACAACTATACGTTTCTTCCTGTTTTCCTTTACTACCTTGATTAGGAAATATTGTAGTCTTTCTATCTCAACCATCAACACAGTGTCTTCTGCGTATATTGTTAATAAGTCGCCGATGATGATGTAAGACACATTTGAGAGAGTGGAAGAGATAAACAAATTAAGTAGGATGCCCATCAGGACGCTTTTTTTTAAGTATTTCGATTGAACATATATTAGAAGACACAAGGAATTACCAATCAGTCAATGAGATCATTTAGCCTATAGATGTGTGGAGAAGAGATGGATTCATACTTTACCCAAGGTTATGCGTAAGTGAATATAATGCTCAACTGTAATTCGAACTCGGCTCTCCGATTTCACATTCTGAGACACTATCTATTACAGCATTTTAGTGGGAAGAGATAAAGACGGAAGAAGCACACACACACACACACACACACACACACACACACACACACATGCTTGATGGCTGGATATTAGCAGATGAGGGGCAGGGGATTGAAAGAGAGGTAGAGACAAAAAGGTTAACGCCTTTGCGATATATTAGCATATTCTTTCTAGAGAGATAGAGTAAAAGAAAGATGAAAGAGAGGATATAGTTATTTGTGACTTAGTTATTTCACATATGAAGTGGGTGCGTGGCCGAGTGGTTGGAACATTCGCCTTCCGACTATGAAACTCGGGTTAGAATCGACCTGTCAGGAAGGTGGCTTATTGATGCTATCAGCCTGTGTGGCCTCTTTGGAAAGTGCTTGAAAACCATGCACCGGATGACCTAAGGTCAAATGACGCCGTTAAAACAATAAAATACTAACCCGGTTTAACCACCTAGAATTAATAACAGCAACAGAAATTAGTTGATTATCATTGAGAAGTTTTATATATATACTAGCAGTAGAGCCCGGCGTTGCCCGGGGATGTAACAGTAAGAGATAGATCAAGTATCGACCATCATAAAGATTGAAAAAAATTAAAATTGACAAAGATTATTGTTTAAGGTTGACGGACACGCATGTCTTAATTAGTTTTTTTTTTTTTAAAAAAAAAAAACACTGTTTTCAATCGTTATGAGTCTACCGATCGAATAGAATTTTATTATAAACAATTGTCTTGTAAATGGAATTTTTAAAGCATTCTGAATGTAAAAATAATGAAAAAAGTGTGCAAGACAATAAGAAACACTACCTGCCAAGAAAAAAAGTGAAGTTTTGTTGAAATCGGTTGAAAAATGTAGGAAATCCGATCCCATATATAAACGAACACACACAC